GGGGGGGGGGGGGGGGGGGGGCGGAAAGTTCGTGCAGAGATCGTTCGAAAGTTTCGCGAAGTCGAGTTCATCATTACGAGGAGGAACGCTGGAAGTTCGTCGCCTCGGGACGACCGCGACTTCGGTCGAAATAAAAGGGTTTGCCCGCCCTCCGCCGAGTCGAGGGACACGAGAGAGCCGGGAAAAGCACGGAAAAAGAAGCTTGCACCTCGCCGCCCGCTCGCCCACTCGCTCGCCCCGAGAGAGATTTCCGGGAGGACGAGGGAAATTCCACGACTTTCCGGCGGCCAAAGACGCGACGTAGCAAAGTTAACTTATTTACGCGTCCTTCATGACGTTCCGAGTTAAATCTTCACGATCGTTTAATTTCATCGCTCGGCCCCGCTTGACCGAAGAAACATAAGACGCGGCGTCAAAGATCGGAGGTGAGCTTCATCAACACGCTCGCTACTAGGATTTAGGAAGGACTCGAGATCCTTCCAAAATCACTTCGTACACTTCTTTTTTTTTATATAATTGTGATAAATCGAATTACGTTGGAATTCGAAGTATAAATTCAGAATTAATCGCAAAGTCGTAGCTTACGAAGCAGTTGTAAGAATCGGATTACAATTGTACGTGAATTGCAATTCTGAACTAGGCACCTGTACCGCCGTTACATGTTTATAGTCACGGAACGTGTTAGAAACTAAAATTTGGTGTTATTTTAACATATATTTTTATTTTTTACGTATCCCCCATGTTAAAGTAACACACAATTTCAGTGGGCTGTTTTAAAGCCAGGTTTCTTTTTCTTTTTTACCGTGGAATTGCAGCATTAATTTTTGACGATATTGGAATAGAAAAAGTTTTCTCGCTGCCATACATATGACTCTGGTTTCTCCGGTGAGAAACTGTCACACGTGTGTGACAAATATATTTTGTCGGCCGAAAAATTAGCGTAGCGAATGTGTTAAGCCGTCGGATGCCACCGACGTTCACAAACGTCCGGCGGAAATCATCAACGTGAATCGCAAACTCGTATTTGCGCTTAAGAAGACCGAGAAGTACTTTAAAAGTACTTCCCGCTCACGGTGATCGCGCTATCGTTTACAGAGAGCCTTCGGTTCCGAAGCACTCAGAAGGTCAAAGTTGGAACCGCGAGACCTCGTTTGCGATTCGCCCGATAAAACCGCGAAGTAATCGCGCGATGCAGCGTTGCACGATATTCATCGCAATTTCGCACTCCGGAAGTTCGCGTTCGATCAGATGGCGGGGGTCAGTGGTCCGGGGAAAAACGAAAAGGCGAAAGGCGTCGGCGATGCGAACGCAGCAGAAGTCGAAGCACTGACTTATCGACACGCTTTCGGAGCACATGCGTAAAACCAACAAAGCGAGTCTCTTCGACTTTGTCGTCGCGGCGTGACACTTCAATTCGACTTGGATTCGCGTATTCCGCTTATTTCGCAAATGAATCCGGCCGGAGCGTATTTATTTATTTATACAGAAAAACAAATCTTTCAGTGTGTACATGAATTACAAAAACGGAAAAAAATTCATGGACGACAAGCGTAAACTATAACATTCGATGTATGAGAATGTTGGAAAGACAGGGAAAGCACGTGACTGTTAATAATAAGAAACGACGGAAATATGGATGTAAATAAGTGAAATTGAGTGTCATCGTTTCGCATGTATACCATAGTGGTAGTCGATGTGTCGGGCGACTTATTCAGACCGTACTTTATCTCGGTGTAGCGGATAAGGGCCGGATATTCTATCGGCCAACCGGCGAAGAAGGAGGAGAGGAAGGAAGTCGGTAAGAACAAAACGGGCTTGAGATACGCGACTTTGGGCGACCGGAGTTCTCCACCAAGATGGAGATATCGGGGTATCGGGACGGGATAATATCGATCCGGCGTGAAATTGAGACGAATATAATGCAACAACGCGCATCGCGCGTATATCACCGGCGCGTACTCGAAACCCGGCGGTCTCGGTGATAGCGGTCTCGCGTTCCAGGCTTTAACGAAGTCCTTCGATTTCTGAGGATGGAAGGGTAGGGTAAGAAGAATCAATAACCGATATATCGCGAAGAGTGACTATGTATGTCTTGAAATGATGCCGGGTCTTCTTAATTACAGCACGGTACCTACGGTACGTGTCGACCTTACGAAAAAAGCGTCGTGACGAGACGCGCGTCATGAAAGTAACAAGGATAAAATACGAATATCAGATTCTATACGATTGTGCGGGAAAATCTTTCACCCGATTGATCTTACTTGATTGATCCGAGCGAAATTATTTTATAAAAAATATAACGTCGAGAAAATAAAGTAATATATTCAGTGACCCCGAAGCACGCGGATTCCGGCTAAATCGTATGCGGTGTCGGAGTCGATGTAACATAAAATGTAAAAGTACATAAATCGTACGAAATTACTATCAGACTATCGGAACATAATTTTCCACGTCGGGATGCGTTTTAATATTCAAAGAAGTAATTTATTCGATTTTGCAATCGAAGCCATAATTCGCAGGACTCGTCGGAAGCGTATCATAATTACGATAAATATATCGATAGAAACGAAATATCGCGACACGCCGTGTTCTTCGATCCGGTTTTCAATTTATGATACGCATTATCATTTAGTCAGGAATACGAATCGACGATAATTTAATCAGAAATACGAATCGACGATAATTTAATAACCATTGTGTTCTATATCCCTGCTGCAGCTCGGAAAGATTTAATTTTAGAGATTCGTCGGCGCGAAAATGTCGGCGGCGATTACGCGATATAAATTTATCAACAGGTGTATGAAGCGTACTGACGTTCGTTTACTCATTTATTAAATTCTTAATTAATTTAACTAACGAATTGGAAAAAAAAACATATACAAGTACACATATATGTATATATATATATATATGTATACACATATCGTACATCATAGCACAGATATAGTATATTATATAATACGTATGTATGTATATATGCTTCTTATCCATGGAAAAAAAGAAGAGACCGATCGAATTAGTCACGAGCGAGACATATTTTGCTGGCGTTCCACCAAGTCCGATCCCCCTCGCCGTGTAATACTAATTTTCGTTTTCCAATTCCTCAGGTAAACGTTTACAAATGAGTAGTTAGGTAGCCGCCGAGAACGGTGGAAGCGAAACCGTTGGTTGACACGAACCTTTTTCCCAAGTGATGCTGGCGATCGGGAAGCCCGCGACGGGACACTTGATGACGGTCGTCTCACCGGCCACCGCAGCGTAGTTGCCCATCGCGCGTACATGAGGCAGCCCGTAAATATTGAGCCGGGCTGCATGATGCGCTCTCGCGACGCGGTTCACCGCCGAACACCTGTACTCGCCGCCGTCCTCCACTCGCACGGCGCTTATGTTCACGTGGGAGATCACGTCGCCGTGCACCGTCACGTACTGGCCTATCATGAATCTGCAAGCAAATCGCCGCTGTTCCACTAGCCCGCTGCGATCGCCGGCCGCGATTTCTCTCCCGAGGAAACACGTTCGCCAAACTTTGTGCGCGCGCGAACGTACGCTGCGTGCGTTTCAATATCGCCGACGCACCGCCGATGTTCCTCTAAGGATGTGTCGCCCATAAGTCATAATAATGAAAGAATGATGAAAAAGCGTGGGTGAAAAATGATTAGCGTGCTTTTACTTTTTTAAATTCCATTTCTAATATTTTCTAAACAGAAAATAAGACTTTGGTGAAAACTACTGTGATATTAAAGAATGATGTGTAAACATTATGCACAAATTTCAGAATTATTGACTATTGTTTTGAAAATACAACGGTGTAAACTTCATAATTTATATTAATATTAGAAATATATATATATATATGTCTAGTTGAACTTCGTTTCAAATTAATATTTATTATTTAAGTAGTGAAATAAAAATACAAAAACTTAATTTTGCTCGATAAATATCAAACTTTTCTAGTAGCTTCTTTGATGCGCCATTGAAAGTACGACACTAATAGGCAGTACATTCTCAATCGTATAATTTATGTTCAAGGTTCATCTGAGAACCGCAGAAAAATTCATCACTCGCGTCGGACTTTCTTCGTAAAACAAATCCGGCCTCGTGAGAAGAGACGCTTCGTCCCCGACGGTTTCTTTCTCCGCGAGAAAATTATTCTTATCGTGACTCGCTTCCGGCGATAATCGCTCGGCAAATCGCGGAAACGCGGAATTATAAGCCCGTCATGGGTTACGCTCGACTTACGCGGCCGCCCGTTAAATCCATCGCTCGGAATCGGCCGGCTTTTAAAAACGTCCAGACTGAACATCGTGATTGGTAATTTTCCTCTCAATTGGTTCAGAGAATCGAAGCCCGCAGGGGCCTATCGGGCTCTCCCACGGGATCCGCCTCCGCCGGATGGAAACCCCCGAGTACACCGATTTCCCGACGATCTCGCGTAATACCCCGGGGTTAATAACCGCGAATAATCCGCGCGTACATCGTCTGTCCGATTTTGGTACTATAAACTTTTGCTCGAAGGGAAGAGGGCGAAACCGAGTTGGATCGAGTTTCGGGATCGTGTCGTTCGTTCGTTCGCTCGCTCGCGTTCCGCGCGGAGACACCGAGCGAGGAAAACTACTTGTCTTACCTGTCGTTCTGCGGGAGAGGAAACCCATCCAGGGTCCAGGAAAAATGCGGCGTAGGGTTGCCCATCGCGATGCACTTCAACGACACCGAGGGACCTGGCTGCATCGTCTGCTCGATGAACTTGTACAGCAGTTGAGGCGCTGCGTCTGTACAGCGACAACGGATTCGTGGTTATCGGAGAGAATTTCGCGCGTGGAAGATAAAAACCGTGAAATGGAGAAATTAGTCGGAGAAATATGGCAAGAAATTGAGGCGCTCCCTGGAATTTTTCCGGGCCATTTAACCGGTGAATTTCGACTGTGTTCTTTGTGCGGGCTGACAAAACTGACAAAACCGTTGAAAATGATTAGAAGCCGCGACGATTTGACGATAAGAGGAAAAGCATTTGCCTCCTTCTCGGCGAATTGCCCGACGATTTTACCACAAAGGCAGGCCGCATCAGTACGCAGCGGCCTGCATTTGGAATTTCGAAATTGCGGCGCGCTCCGCGTTGCCGTTGTGTCTAAATCCACCTCTGTATATACGCGCATAACTCGCGCAACCGGCGCGGGAATATTCGCGGAAAATCTCCGTGCGATAGTCGGGATTTTCTTCAAATTTACCTCCGTCGGAAAGAGAGGGAGAATTTCTCAGACTGTTCTCCGCGCTCCACGCAAACACTATCTCTAAACAAGCGCAATACTTGGCCAAGCTAGACAAAGATCTACGAGTACCAATAAACTGTGGCAGCCGGGACGGTAACTTCAAAAACGATCGCGGCGATATCCTCTGCTAACCATCGATTGAATCTCAAAATCTCAATCTTTTCAAATCACCGAAACTTCCGCGATATCCAACGACCGGGATTCGGGAGGAAGAGGCTGCTATCCCGTTTGTTAAGTTTTGCGGAATGATACCTCACTCTAAACGGCTGAGAATTCATTCGATAGCGAAAACACCGCCGCTCGGAATTGTAAGAGCGAATGTTTCATTCGAATAGGAAAATGAATTCTTAACACGTCGAGCGCCGTGATGGTTACCTGTGATCGATATTAACGAGTCTCACTGACAAGGTACAAGGTGTAATTGAGCATACGTATAAGGAATAATTAATTGTACCTGAGAATCTTCTGTCTACGGTTGATAGAGGGCTAACGAAACGAGATTAAGACGTATAAATTGCAAATTTCATTTCTTTATCGTATCTTTTTAGCGACTCGATGATCAATTCAAGCTTTCATGGAACCGATTGAATCGATGGAGCTCCGTACATCAATCAACGCATTAATCCAAGTACAAGTGAGTGTCTCGAATTCAAGTAAATCTCGTCCCGGTGACGATGGGGCGCGCTAGACTCACCTCTCGGTCGCGAAAATATTCACTCGGCGATTCGTAGAGCGGAATTCAAGCCCGCGTGAGTGAAAAGTTACTCGACCTCGAGTGACCCCGTTGTCGCAGCATTTTTCCCGCGAGATTTCGCTCGAAGAAATTTACAGAGGGCGAAGACACCCCCCTCCTCACGCTCCGAGACTCGACGGGCTTTTTCATCGGCGGATCGTAGGCTCACGTTATCATGGAGAATGCGAGAGCGGTGATGGAATGTCGGTTTCCCGCTCGTGCGCACCTGAATCAGGGCGCACGCAGCGCTGCGCGCACGGTGCGCACGCACGCACGCACACTACGGCGAGCTGCGGCCAGCATCGCCGTGGAAATGGCCCTGGGTGGCCGCAAGGCGGGGGTATTATGCACGCAACATTTACATGACAAGCCCGGTGCGCGCGGGCGGAACTATCGATCTGCGGTTTGACGCCTGAACTCGAGTGCCGCCCGGTGAATTAACCCCAAATTATAGAGCCGACAATAACCCGGACGGGCGCAGGTTGAGGGCGAGAGCGGTTCGGCAGGGTAGGTAGGTTGGTAGGTAGGTAGGTAGGTAGATGGGTAGGTAGGTAGGGTTGGCTGGTTCGAGGCGGCTGTTTGCTCACGGCGTAAATCAGAATGCACTATTGCACGCGAGTTGTGCCACGCCCCGGTTTTGCGGGCCCCGCGTGCATTATCGTGCGGGCACCGCGTCATTGTTGCCGCCGTCAGCTCGACGACGAGTCGAGTCAACTGTATTTTCGTGCGGGCGGGGGCGAGGAGGAGGGAGAGAGAGAGATGGTCTCTCTCTCTCTCTCTCTCTGCCGTAGCAGACCGGTAGGTAGCAGTGGAAATTCACGGATTGAATTTCCGAGATGTACGCGAACAAGATCTCCGAAATGCGTAGAGTGGATTTACGAAGTGTGTGATCGAGTTTCTAAACGGCGGCGGGAAACGGGGGGGTGAGTTAACGGCGGCGGGAACTTACCGGCTTTTCCAGGGGGATACCTGGACGCGACAATGTGCTAAAATTTCCGCCAATTAATATCGTCGTTATTCGTGACGTTTGTTCGGCGGCACCGGCGGGGATACAAAGCGCACATTTGGTGGAGTTTCGGAATCGAGTAAAAATAGGAGCTAAACTTGAGGTTTTCAGGACAACGAGAGAGTTAACTAAGGTCGATGTGAAAATGTTATTATCGCCACGTGCGCCCCGTTGTTACAATTTACTCGTTCATTAATATCATTTCCCTTGGTGGACGTTTTCTCTCAAGTTAAACGCCGCTTTACGCAATTGCGCGAGGAAAGAAAATACGATAGGCGGTCTGCGGGAAGAGTCGTCGGGATAAATCCTATTAGCAAGGGTGTCAAGAAGAGTTCTCGATCTTTGCTCATTCGTCATTCCGAAACTATTATCGCCGTACCGACTATTCTCGGCTGAGACCAGTCTACTCGAAATCGATCAAGGAACCCGTCGTAACGCCGAGATCGTCCCGGGACAGCCCGTGTACGTGTGTGTGTGTGTGTGTCCGCAGTCTCCATTTTTCTCCGTGCAACTGCCACGCGCCCCTCGTATCTCAACGTTGTCGATACGTGATACGTATCCATTAGTTTTAGCGGACTACACGTCGGTCGCTTGTGTATCGCTTTCACGCGCGGCGAATCGGCATAATCCTTGACAGATTTGCAGCGGGCCGGGCGCGACACACAATTCACTCCGACGCGCCGCGATTGCGCGCGCGGGCGCGCGTGAGTGCATCCGCGCGACTTCGCCGGGAACGATTATTCGCGAGCGTGCGCCGCACTATTACACGGCCGGGCTTTGTGTCATTAATGCATGCGGACAACGCACACCGGCCGCGATGAATCGCCGCCTGCGGACGCCGGTTTGCGCGATGATTCCGCAGCGCCTCGTTATTTACCCCCGGCCGGCCGAACGCGATCCGACGAGCGCGCGTCGGCGCGTCGTAAACAAAGTGGAAGTTTGCCAGGATCAAGGCCGGGAAATTTATTTAACAGTCCGCGCGGCCGGCCGTGTTTAATATCGCGTTATCGTGAAATTCGCGTGAAAGCGCGCAGAGAGCAACCGCGCGCCGATATTGTCCGCGTCGTGCGAATTATGCCGGCGTAATCGGCAAGGAAGAGTACATCTCGCTGCGTTTGCATCAGGGAGTCATTTTGAAGAATCGATATTGATGATATTACACGCCGAAGTCGAGCTATCGAAGCTACAGCTGGTAACAAGTATCGACGTAAATACTATTATATTATCGACAAAATGAGAACAAAGAAATATCAAGCGATTTTTTTACAAAGAAATATGAGCTATTCTCTCTTATAATCTTGTTAACCTAGAAATCTTACTATTTCGAGTCGGTAACGAAGAAAAAATAGAGTGATAACATTGACAGTCTAGACGACCAGATTGTATAAATAATTCTTTCAATTTGCATCTACACGTCGAACAAGAGAAGACAAAACGAAGACACACTGGTCTATGTTCTCAATTTATCTTTATCGATAAAGTGTCTCTAAAAATGGTTTAGAAAGTCGATTGATTGAGAAGTCACATTTAAGGTACTTTTATCGATAAAAGTGAGCTGAAAACATGGATCGCTGTCATGAATGAATACAAAGACAAGCGTGTGTCGGGTATTATTCGCTGATGCCGTTTTATATATATATATATATATATAATGTTCTCTTGCTCTAATCTAGTAAGACATAGCGAATCACTAAGCCGGGATTAGTTAACCCCGACTATCGGTGTGCCCGAGACCCTATTACATCAACGTCGGTTAACACTAACCGCGGTTTAAAGCTGCCCTCTCTCTATCAGCATTATGCCTGGATTCGCGTTCCAGAATGAGAGAGGAAATCATTAGGTGGAATCAGCTACTCCAGACTCGTGGACGCGACACGTCAAGACGCGAGTACGACAATGGGAGGAAAGACAATTTTTCATTATTATTATTACCTCGCTTTATTCAGGTCTCTTTTTTTTTAAGAGATACTAAAAGCGTCTCACGAAGCTGCCGGTGTTTTATGCCCCGCTTTTCGCGCGGTTTTAGCCTTAATCGAATGGTACGGCGACGGGTTCCGATTAGGGCGCATGAAACGGGTGCGAAGGACGATCGAGCACCGAAGAGAGGATTTGATTCGATATAACAGTCGATGTAAAGTTCCAATAAAACTCCACTTCGGTGGAAGCTGGAAAAATGCCAGCGAACAGTCTTTAGTTCTTACCTCTCTCTCTCTCTTTCTCTCTCTCTCTCTCTCTCTCTCTCTCTCTCTCTCTTTTGAAAAGTGTACCGTTACGATTTACGAAAATCACTTCTTTCGTTCGCGTGACACTACTTGCGACGATCCTGAAGATGTTAGAAGACATCTTACTCGTTCTGCAATATAAATCTCCTAACCTCGATAAATGTCATGTTATACGTTTCAGTAAGTTCAACGAAAAGAAGAGAATTTTTCATCACACACGCATAATATTATATCCTTGTGGAATGTCTTCTTTTAGCATAGGACTCTTTTAGCACTCTACTACGCGACTTTGGAGTGTTTTGCTGTGACTAATCATTCGACAAACATGTACACACGATATCTGATAGAAAGATTCTTATCGACTTCTTGTTCTTATTTAAAATTGTGAAAGATACTTTGCTTACACCAAAGGGATGAGATTCCCTTCGTATAAATAAACAGATAAATATAATTTTACGATATTCGGTAAGATAAAAGAATCTACATCCCTTCGAATCTTTTGATTTCCACGGCGCGACATGCAAACATTGCGCGACTCTCTTATGATCAATCGTATTTTGAACGTACATTCATATACCGATTCGATCGTGGATCTTTCAAGTCACTTCGTTCGTACGCGGACAAACATCAGCTACCATCCATAATGCACGAAGCATAATAATGCATGCGCAATAAAGTCACGCAATTTCGAATTCGCGTGATCGCCCGCGCGTTTCTCGCGTCCGGTGCATAAAAATCGGCCGTTAAAAATTACAATCGCGGCGGTGAAGAAGTCCGCTTTTAGCGGGCGACGCTGATTCCGTTACGTTTTCATTTGGCTCGCGCTCAAAAGTGCCTATTTCGTCGTGAATCAGCAGTTTCCCGCCTAGTTTCGCCGTTGCGTCCCATCGCGCGCGCGTTCCTTTGTTCCATCGAACGGGGATCGTGAAAATACCAGCGGCAACAATTCTCTCTCCACGCGCGTAACGTATATATATTTTTCCTAACCCCTCCCCTCCACCCTCGGTCCCCGCCGTCCCGGCTTCAGCGCGGTTTACGATCGTTATGGAACTTCGCCTCTTTGATTCTTTCCTTTTGTTAACGTAAGAGGATTACCGCGCCGTCCAATTATTTCGCGTTTCGCGTTGCGACGACGACGACGACGACGATCACAAGGACGACGATGACGACACACGCGGCACTGGAAATCGCATTAAAACGAACTCGCAAATTGCTCGAGAGGGCATCCAACTCTCGCGACGAATGAGGCAACGGTTTTCGCGGATGAATAAATCGCGCGCGCGGGAGTCGCGACTTGTATCTCGACTAAATATGTATCGCTACGAGTACACGTGTATACGTTATATTCTCGAACAAATGTATGGCGCGGGAATCGCGGCTTACTGAACTCATATTGCGAGCTCATATCGCACTTGAAATAATTTATTTTTATTCTCTCTCTCTCTCTCTCTCTCTTACACACATACACACGCACACACATGTACACACACATACACACACACGCTCTCGCCCGTGTGGGCGTGGAAAAAGAAAAAGTTGGAAAATGCCAGTCGGTTGCGCCAGTGCGCGTTGCTGGCGATTTAAAGCGCGATCTCGCCGTTCCATCGCGTGTGCGCCCGCGGCGTGTTCCACTTTTCGATGCTGCCGGTAGCTTTTTCACTGGAATATCGTTTAATTGCGATAAAAACGATCCGTGGAATTTTCATATATTCCATTTGCAAAAAGGCGAAATATTTCGGGAATCTCGTTTGCGAGTTTGATGAGCGATGCTCCGATTTATCAAACGCACGTGTGAAAAAGGAATTTGATTTCGAGAGGCTGCCGAGTAACGAATAACCTACTTATTGTGCATTACAGCGAGCGTCAAGTTGGAATTAGAGGAATAACAATTATTGCGTAACACCACCTTACAAAAGTCTCTTTAGACGATTATTTGGATGTAGAATAGATTTAAAATAGAAATAATGATAACGACCTATTAAAAAGGACGATGTTTTTAACGTCTATTTTCATTTGGAGATCGATAAAAACGGTAAAACATAATTGTCCTCGTTTATAAAGAAGAAGGATCGAAAAGAAGAGTTCGAAAAAAATATCGTTAAGTCCTAATAATTTAGAAAGCCTATTTGGTTAAGAGTGGGCGGTTTCGCTTAGCGACTCAGAAATTACTGACTTGTACTACTTTTAAAGGGCAGACTAAGTAATCTGTTAAATTCGCTTTAAATATCTGCCCAGGTTTTTTTTCAAAAACATCTTTATCTTTCATCAAATTATTGATATTTTGCTTGGATCCGCCGTGAACCTTTAAAATATTTGTACTAAGCGACGTATATTTTATCTTACAGTTGGATGTCTTCATTTATAATTCGTTTAATCGAAACGAGGAAAATGGCGAGAACGAATGCGAAGGTCCGACGGTTCGTTCTCGCTCGTTTCGTGTGCTCGCAGTTACCTTAAGACGGCCGAGAAAGCGACAGCGGTCGTTTAAGGTAATGGATTATGTCGCGCGAAAACACCGTCCTCGTTTCAACCGGTTTAAAGACGAGGACGACGACGATGACTACGAGGATGAGAACGACGAGGACGGAATATTCCGTCCAGTCGTTCGCCATTCGTTTCGACCCGCGTCTTCGTACGCAACGCGAAACTCATCGTGCCCGTTTTCACCGTCCACCCTCTTCCTACTCTCGCCGACCGACCGACGACCACCCTCGTCCATCCCTTCCTCCCCCACCGACTAAGACAAATGGCGCGTATTTATTTCGTGGCACACCGGCTAGTGGATTTCTCCTTTCTCCATTATGCATCGCCCTCGTTAAGCATTTCTCCACTTTTTCTTCCCCTTTCATTCCCCCTTTTTGTCTTGGAACTCGCGCAAGCAACGTTTTTCCTTCTCCCTGTCGAGCCCTCTACCGGTTTCCCCCCGCTCCGGGGCACCACGCTCCCCGCTGTTGATCTGTATGCGAATGCACAGACACGAGAACGCCTAAGTTCGGAACAATCGACTCGCGGCGATGAAGGAATTCGATTGCACCTATTGAACGTGGGTTCGGTCAGATACGAAGCGGAGAAAGGGGTGATATACGTCGCCGAGAACGCCCCCGGACATTTCTCTCACGCGTACGGGGCAACCTTGGACGATAATTTCCGGGCTTAATTCTTAAATGCACGATTTCGTGCGTGTACGGTGTGTGCGTGTGTGTGAAAATGCCACCTTTTTGATGGGAATGAACGTTCGGTTGGCGCGAGAAATAGGAGAAACATTTAACATCGTTTTCTCGCCTGTTGGAGTATATACGAATTCATTGCCGGAATTTTGCAATATTAAACATGTAAAATTTGAGAAAAAAATACAGACGATATTATGGCCTGCTGAAAAATCGTGTTGCGATGTGATTTAAAGATTAATTAGTGCCGGCGAAATTTATCAATATATTATATTTCATTATCGGCGTTACAGTTCACGAGTGTTTCTCGTTTGAAAAGAAAATTCACTGTGTGAAAATTATTTACATGTTCTCCCGCTATCAAAACTTACTTACTCTCGTAATTACATCTGCGTAAATAATGAATTACCGGTAGATATCAATTAGTATTGCTGCTTTGTTAAAAATTGTCTAGCTTTTTTACGCTTCTCACGGTGTTCTTCTCTCCTTGTACTGAATAATAAATCTACTATGCGTTGCAAATAAACGTCATTCTTAATTAAAAAATATATCGCCATTTAGTAGCGTAATAAGGCAGCTTCCGGAAAATGCTTCTACGTATTTAAGGAGACTTACTTTAGAACAGCCGGTAAAAACTAAGTAAGGTTGCAAAAAAGCGAGAGAGGGAGAGAGAGAGAGAGAGAGAGAGACAAAACTTCGGCAATAGAGTCTCTCGCCTCCGGTTAATGGTGTACCGTTAATAGCCTTAATTTAGCCTTATTATTTCCTGGAGGAAACTTTCATAAAACTTTCGCCGAAGTTACGCGGCAGATCGCGCGCGCGCGCGCACGTCCTTACGCTAATCCATCCCCGACTCGTGTGTGTTCCCTTTTAAACACACTATCCTTCTCAGAATATCTCAAACATTTTCGGGTTTACGTGCCTCAGCCGAAAGCAAGAATTAGAAGAAAAATTAAAAGGAAGAAGCGGCTGACGCAAATTGCGTCTGCGTGCCGCAAAGCATGGTATTTAATTACACATTCGGCATAAATCGCTGTGTACGCGTAAATATTCTAAAAAGTCAGCGAACTTCGTTTTTCGAATTCCCTGGAGGGTTAATTAATCGAATTTATCACAGCTTATCGTGCATGGTTCGTGTTTCCGGCAAAACCGTATATTCAATAAATAATGTAAACTGCTCGAACGGGAAAGGATGGCTTTTGGTTCTCCGGGACAATGGGGCGAGTGCGATTATATTCGCAGGGGGGAGGCGACGCGCGCAGGAAGGAAACGTGAGGGCGAATTTACCTCCCAAGCGTAATTCGGCCGTGGCTTGCACCATCTCGTAGTCGTTTTTGGCGAAGCACTGGTACATCCCTTTGTCGTCCCTCACGATGGAAGATATGCGCAACGTCGAGCCGTCGTTACCCGTAATTTTGCTTCTACCCGAAGATCCTTCTCTCACAGGAAGACCGTCCTTCGCCCATGAGATCACCGGATGTGGCTGACCGGTGACGGAGCATTGAAACTCCGCATCCTTCCCCAGATCCACAGTCACCTAGAGTCCGCAGGAAATACGCTATATGTTAATACAGCGATATCGTATAACGTGTATACGAATAATGGCGAAATGTGATACGGTATTTATTAGTAATTCGGTGATATTGCGAAAGTACACGCGAGATATCATATAATATTTACAACATAGTGTTCGTCGCAGGTGTGGCTGTACAGTCTAATGTAAATCATAGAACATAAACACATGTGTGCACATATGATACGACGTATCTTAAACTTTTTTATTATTGTGTGTATATTATATATTACTATATCATGCATCGATTATACGTGAGATTTTTCATAAAATCGCGACTCGTAAATTTTAGCTTTCAAAAGTAAAGTCGCGAGGTGTACAACGAAAAAAGAGAAAGAGAAAAAACGTGTAGCTTTTAGTTCGCCGGAAGTCCGCGCAACAGGCGTATCCTGAGAGCAGCAGGATGAAAGAAGTTTTAATCGTCAATTATTCAGTTGGTACAATTAGAAAGTCGACGAGAATATGATCTCCGTGCGGACTCGCGAGCCTCCGGTCACACCGAGTCGTAACGCGCGCGCCGACGAGAAGAGTGCAACTGCACACAGTAGCCGTGTATTGAATTAGGAATTGGACGAACGCGCCCCTACAATTAATTCGAGTGGCCCGCTGGAATTTCCAATTCCGTATTCGGCGGGTTAATTTAATCATCTGCCCTTTGAACGCCGTACCCGTCGCTTCGAAAGTATATCGACGTAACTGAGATGCAGATTAACAATAAAACCGGTTAAAGAATCAGTTAACTCGCTGCCGGTTCGAGAAAAGCGCGGCAGCGCGGAACAATTGCATATTCCTTCCACGGAGAAACCTCTCATTAAACTCCGTTAGATTTTCAAAATGAAATCTGTGCAACTCCGCGAGTCGAATTACCGTCACATACCTGACGAGCACGCCGTTGTTTCCAAGAATATTCCCACTAATACTTAATATCACGTCAAAATGCCGTAATCTGGTCGGCAACTAACAGCCGCAATAACGATCACGCGAGATCGATTTTAACTCCGCGATTTAATTGAAAGCTGAGCCGGAAGTGAGTAGGTAAGACCATGTGCATTCAGACAAGGGGTGAGTATTAGAGATTCGCGGAATAATATGAGGTGATCCATTAAATCGGCCTCCCGCGGTATTTCCATATCCATCTTGAGCCGCTTAACTTAACGGCGATCGAACGCACGGGATCCTTTGATCCGGAGTGGAATCGGTCTTGCGCATTATTAAGGATGCTCGTTTACTTCAAGGGAGAGAGAGAGAGAAGGAGGGGAAGGGGAAGAGAGACAGATAAGCCGTGGAGGAGGAGGAAGCGGATAGTGCATTTCGATTATGCAGCGTGCACGCTTGAGCGCGCGCATACGTGTGCACGGTAGGATGCAGCTGCATCGCACTGGCTGCATCGCCGTTGCGAATTCCGCAGCCACTTCGGCCAAGAATTCGCGAACGAAGAGCACTTCCAGCCGTTCGACGCGCCCTCGATCTTGATAAGCAAAAAGCATCTTCGTGCCGCGATAAACGGACCGAGTGTCCGGAAGAATCAGCTGCTCGACTCTTTCATTTGCAGCGTGTCCGAGAAAGCTCGGATTACAGCGATGCGCGTTGATCCTCGCGAAATTGAATCCCGATTAAATTAGCTCCTTTTAATACAATCGAAGCTGCGTGTAAAATAACAAATCGAAGTCGAGTTATGGAGTTTGAAAAATATATTTTTCTTTCTAGTTCCGCACGATTTTTTTCCGCCCTTTCCTTATTTTAATCAAGCAGAATATGTATTCATATATTCGGGTCAATCATGACAGCTTTCTGTTCACGTTTTGTTGCTCCACCTTTCCTTGCGAAGATTGAAAGTTCCACCCGGAGAGATTATAATTTCACAAAGCGATAAGAACAAATTATTAACACATGTTCTTTTGTTTGTTTCGGAAATAATACCCTTCTGTTGGCTATCGGGATTTACGTTAGGTCATTAATATTACATGAATTTCCTCGGAACGCGCCACGGATATTTTCACGGTTTAGAGGAAATTCCGTAATAAGAGAATTAAATAGAAATGCGCGCGTTCGCATCGATTCGATGGGTGATTTTTGCCGGCCAGGAGCGCAGCAATCAGAGGCGATGGAGAATTATCCATCCGTACATCGAATTTACCGCAGTCGTTAAATATCGTTAAGAGGATCCGCGGCTCGCTGATCGTTTTGTCCCACGACTCCACGGAAAAAACTTCCTTTCGAAACCGTCGGCGACTTTTAAATGTCCTTTGATACTGGGCTTCTCCCGTGATGACGGAGAGCGTGCGAAGGGCTGCAACGAGAGAAAGAAAGGAATGTGGCGAGCGAGGAGTGAAGGAAAGAGAGGAAAAATAAAATAAAGCAGCCTCGCGATAGTTCCTCCGACGGTCCTCGAAGGGAGACTCATAAAACGCGAGCTAAGACATCGGCTTCCGTCTCTCCCTCTTTCGACGAGTTCCTTTGTGGCCGTCCGTCTGCATCCGTCCGCGTGTATTTACGGCACGCGTAAGGGACGCGTTGTTTCAGTATAACAATAATGCGCATACACACACACACACACGCGCGCCCATATACACGCATCCATGTACACAAGGCGCAATGCACATGCAATTTTCTTTGAGGCGGGCGCGTCGCGCGGTTGTTGCACGGATTTTTTTTTCGGTTGGACACATGGAACGAATAAGGGGATGCTGTTAAACGAGGGCGAGGGGACGTTCAATTCGCCTCCCGTTCCCGACGGGTTTCTTGTGCGTCGCGAAGAAAGATGCGGCGTTGCATTAAATTGTAGGGTGAAATTAGAATTCGGCGGGCATAATGACCATTTCATGAGATATCGTCAAAGGAATGCTTTTATTAATTCTCACAAAGAGGAAAGAAAATGCGTCCGTCCGCACGAGATATGTGCTCTCTCTTTCTATCCTCCCCCCCCCCCGCCNGTGTTTTTATATTTTACATTTGATATTTTTCATATAACGCCGCTGTGAAGTTCTTTGACGGTCCTTCCGTTTAATATGCCTCGGTGAGTTAAACGTTCACGGACATTACATCAGTATTTGTTCGATCAAACAAACGCCAGTTTCAGCATCGTCCGTACTGTTCGGCTAATCGGCGTGCGGGCGAAATGTCAAACGGCAGAACTAACTTGACAACCTCCTGGGATTTGTTGAAAAGCCTACGATTATTAATTCCGCCGAAGCGCCGGCAAAACGCGCCGTCGGAAGCCGCGTTGCGCGTGACAAAAAGCCGCGGTTTCCGCCAATAAAGCACGAAGCGGGTTTGACGCGCTAATGGAACAAAATTGCGGAGACGAAAGGCAGCCGATATATACGGAGTGTCCCGGATTCGCCGTGCCACCATTCATTCACGGGTATACCCGCGACCAAACCGGAGAGTCGATTTTTCCTGAACGAAATCACGGCCCACGTTAGCCAGCTCTCAGGTTGCGAGTGACTAAAAATCGCACTCCCGCAAATTAAATTCCGGAAGCACAAGCGGAAACAGAATCCCACTTTTCATCTCGTACGATTTTAAGTGAATTTTTATCGGACGTTTAGATAAAAAAAGGTGTTCCCATGCAAGATGATGAACGATCGAATTTTCACACGGCATAGATCTCGTTTGAAAATCGATCCGGCGAAATCCGCGAGCAGTGCCATGATGTAAAAAGGTAGAGTGAACCATTGCGCATAACGGTGGCATAATAGTCGAAAAATCGATAAAACTCTATCTCCAAATTAGCGCGAAAGTCAAACACGATGTTGGTGAAAATGTATGACAGAAATACGAACGAAATTAAAATTTGTAAAAGCAATACGAGAGTTCGGATTAATAAGAATGTGTAATATGAAATAAAATGATAATAAATAATTATTCATACGTTGATTGGTAAAGTGTGAAAAATAACCAAGTGCACGTTATTACTAACAGCGCCAAGTTTGTGTCTTTCATAATTTCGGGCAAAATTTTGAACAGGTCAAAGTGCAGCCATGATATAGGACGGCTGTGGAACGGTATCCTCTGGAACGGTACATCTTATTTTCTTACATCATGAGTGATACCAACGCGAGACACCCAGTATATGCGAGGGAATCCGTCAGGTATAGGCGTTCTTTCACTGATCATCGCGAAAGTTATACGGAAGGCTTCCGGCGAATGAATGGTATTTCACCGTTTCCACTTCCCTCCGATCTCCCTCAATCCTACCCTACTCCGCACTCCTGCGATGGTACCCAGGTAGCCTTCGTCACCACGGACCATTTACCAATACCCATTCGCTCTTCTTTTATATATATATGCTCGAGCTGTCCGCTCCAGATGGAAGAATACCGACCACTTTCTCGCGTTTTCTGTCGGACAGCGACACTTTACTGACATTTTCCACTCTCTGTTCGTGTTCACCCCTTCCCCCACCTCGACGCGTTCCACGACGGGGCAATGATCGAACCAGCATGCAGTCGACTTTTCAAGGCATGTAATGCCGCTGAAACGCCAGCACGGACGATTCGTCTCGGCGAATTGTGCTACAGTTTGCGCGATCCATCAGCTGGTAATTGACAGTGAAATAGTTTACGCGCGCGTGGCGCATTTATTACACCGCTGGTTCCCAAGCGCTGGCGTATCGATATCTCGGTCTGTGTGTTATCGGTCGCAACCACAACTTGGCCGTTGATAATCCAGCCGTGATACCGAAGAGAGCGAAACTTCGAAGCGCATTATTTCATCGGGGTGGCTGTAATTTTTGGGGGATGTAACGCACGTCATGCGTCGAGATAAGATGATGATGCATGAAGCTATCGGTTTTAATCAGAATTGCGTGCATTCGAAGTAAAGAAATACGGCGGCGGATGTAGCATGAGATCTACTTCGTAAAAAGGACACGAACGAAGATACAATGAATGATGAAATATATAAAACTAAGAAATATAAGATTTGGAGGTGTAATCGAGATACAAAATGAATAATAAAACGTTAATAAAAGGTAACGATAAAAATTAGTGGAATACACTGAAAAAAAGTGTGCACCGTTCAAGTAATATTTACTTGACCCAAGTAAAATGATTACTCCAATACTTCTTAGCAAATATTTCCTACAGGCGGAAGTATAATTGACTATGTATAAACACAAAATTTCCTTCGTGTAACTAGAGACTTACTTGTACGTGTTAAAACAATTGCGACGAGTATTAAGCCCATAATATTATAAATATCAAAATTAATTTTAAGAAAATATTTACTGGACAGAAAAATCTAAATTTGAGACCTAAGTTTTCCTTCAATGGGAGAGAAGCATTACGTCATTCTAGTGTTGAAGTATTTACTGCAAGCTATTAAGACGTAATTAAATATACACAAATATTGCTTGATTTACGAGACCGAGAAACAGCTGATCACATTAATTTGATTTTAACATTTTATTCTCCGCATGACACAATAAAAATACACTAATTCTGTTTACACCGCGAGTGCGGAGACCACTGCGGGAGAATTTTTGCGAATCACGTCTGGGATCTCCCCCGAGCAGCGGCTGCCGTTTCCGGAAGTTAGCGACAGTTATAAGGAATTCTCAGGCCGAAGCCGACGATTGCAGCGGGATAATAACGGAGTTAGACAATCTCGGGGCGAACGATAATTTGGCCCGACAGAATAAGTGTCCGGGACAACATCGGGATTCATCGAGCTCACGGGCAACCCTCGTGCCCCGTTTTGCACGGCGTCACGGTCGAGCAACCGTTTCCGAGTTTCCTTCAGCGCCGTGTTTACGGTACTCACGCGATCCTCGATTATCTACGTCGCTGAGAATTAGTCGCTCGCCGTTCGAGTCGGCTCGAATTTATTCAGAGGCACTGCCGAGGCAGCTCGCACGTCCCGGCTCGTGCTCATCGAGCTAAGATAAGGAAGAGAGAGAGAGTAAGAGAGAAAGAGGAAGCGAGAGAGAGAAGGCGGACGGAAGGACGTGAGGGTGAGAAGGTTATAGAAGCTCTCGACAGTTTAACAAAGTCACGAGGCAACGAACCGTCATCCCGCGTCGCGGAATACAATGACGAAGATGGGCTTACAGATCTGCAAGTAGCAGAATCGAGTGCTCTCTGCAGCAAGGATGTGAGCGAAGAAATCGCGAGTGAACACCTGGGAATCCACGGCAGCCGAGCATACACAGACCGCCCCGGGATCCTCCCCCCCCCTCTCCCGGTCTTAATTTCGCCGACGGATTCTGTAATCGATTTAAGGCTAATTTTACCTTAACTAAAACGCCGAAGGATTAATAATTGCGACGAACTGCGAATCTGTAACGAGATCCAGTTATCCACTTTATTGCAAGCGGATTACTTCCTCGAAACTTTCCCGCGCGATTTTATCAGCGAGATATTTGATATCGGACATGAAGAAGTCGCGAGAGAGACGCGTTATTGCCAACAAACGTTGTATTAACGGAAACAAGCGCTTCTTCAGATCCTAATTCGTTCAAATAAATCTCAAGCCGAGGAGGGCTTAACACGTTTATTGCCAATCACGCGATATCGCGTGATGCGAGTTCTCACCAAACGGCCGATCACGCGTTATCGCGTAATAGATATTTAGAGTACATAAATCCTATGTACATAATAATAAAAGCATATAAATAATATATTAACTTATTTCGAGCACAATAAAAATTAAATAAAAAATTTGGCCACCACACGAAATTCCAATTTTCAGCTTGGCAATGAACGTGTTAAGATACACGTGCGCTCGTATTACTTAAATACCTGGACTTTAAAGCGTCGTAAAAAAAAGAGAGAGAGAGAAGAAAGGAAGAAGACTTCGTCGTAACTGGCAGGACGAGTGGCTTGTAGCGCGATTCGGCTTGTTACCTTTCCCAGATAAATGCCGATTTACTCCGTAAATGCCGCCGCCAATGTCGCGGAAAAGCGTGGAAATTCCCGAGGTAAAGGTAAATTTCGCGAAATCGCGCAGAATGGCGATAAGTAGGATGCAGATCCTGACCGTGCTCCCCCTCCCCCGGCCGAGGGAAACTGGCGTCGATTGTCGGCAGGATCGAAGAACGGGGAGGAAAGCGGACAATAGAGACGCCCGACTCATTTGCGAGGACGCATTGAAGAGGAGCTGCTACTTGGGGGCGAAGGCGGGGAGGGAACGGGTCGCGAGTCGCGTTGAACGCGAAAGGATTATCGAATATCGGCGAGAAATCTCGTCCGGAGATTCTTACAGTTTAATTCGTTCAAAGGGAAGTCAGCTGTAGTCCGTTACGCGATGACGTCCAAGTAAGAATTGCCGGTTTATTTACTTCTCGATGAAGATCTCAAACAGAAGAGAAAGAAAGAGAGAGAGAGAGAAAGAGAGAGAGAGAGAGAGAGAAAAGTAGCAGAGTTGCTGAAGAAATCGATGAGATTACTTCGCCGAGTTTAAGACTCCAACGAGATAAAATGGATTTTATTCATGAGCCTCGAAAGTGTATGACGATATAATTCTCTTTCCGTTCTTATTCGCTTCACGATTCACCACCGTTCGTTTCGCGAAACCGGCGGTAAAAGCTTATTGCGAATTGGTTAAACGATTGAGATAATAAGTAGCGGCCGTGAGAACAGATTACATAATAGGAATGTTTGCGGTAAGCGCGTAAAACGATTTGAAGTTATTTCTATTCCGGACACGTTGCATTGCACGAGAAAGAGTGGGAATATCTCTTGGTGAGAGCGATGAAAGAGTGGGCGCGCGACAGTCTGAAGTCGGATTTCCAACGGTAAAACTAAAAAGAGGTCGTCTTCGATGTAAGCATAAATGTACGTTACAAACGTTACCACAGAAACGTAATAATGGCGTTCACGTTCATCTTTTTTTTATCTCATGGTATAAACACACGATAAGCAACAGCGAACGCCAGTAACTGTTCAACAATCGCAATTCGGATTTACACTTGAGTGAAGAACGCCGCGAGCGATGCGAGAGCACACGGAGAAAAATCATTTTGGCGTTGTAGCGAAACCACATTGTTGCTACTGCACAATCGTTGCGACAGGAATAAAATTTAGTTGGCACAGCCAATTAGCGAATTATTCGTAATTACAGCGGAAAAACAGTCTTGTCGCCGGGAGAGAAAATATTCTGCCGAATAAATCCATTCTTAGGGCACGTTAATTTGCCGGTTAGAACGAAATCGTGTTTTCCTGTATTTATTAATTTGTTCTTATTCCAAAGTAATTTGTAGATTCTTTTACAGATAATTTTATATAGTAACTGACAGATTTTGTCGCGACAACATATAAATTTGCTGCTCGCGTCGGCAAGTTATTTTTCTCCGCGCGGTTATCAACGAGACGGCTTGTTCATTCATCCTCGTTCATTTCGATTTATTCGTCAGGACGTTTTCGCAACGGACATATTGATTTTAGCTGGCCGATCCAAAAATGTTACACGTTATTTTTTTACGTTTTATTTTCTGCGGTTTTCTTTCTGTTTGAAATCTTAAAAATGCACGGCGATCCCGTATTCAACAACCGCGAGTGTGAAACGCGATTCGCGGGCAAATGCAAGACGCGGGGAGGAAATGAAATAGTAAAGTGGAAAGATCGCGTTTGCCCACGAAACTCAATAGGGAGGAAATGGATGCAAATCGGCGGAGACGGCAAGATGGACGCGGGGACGCTACGTTGCAATGTTGATGTTCGGCCCAATTATCCGGAGATTGTCCAAAGTCCACTATGTCGTTCGGAGTAACGGGAACAACTTGGGGTTGAACTTTGCTCAAATCGAAATAGCCGACGATATTCCGTGGCGATTATATCGAACAAAGGAGCGCGCAATAACAATCCAAACTTGGACGTCGAACATTATTTGGGAAAGCGAAGCTCAAACGACGTACCGTTTCGCGAATGTTTGCATGCCATTTCACGGCACAGCAATGAGAACTATAATTAAGTTTGTGTACCTATTTAATGTAACGCTATAACACGTAACACCGTGATTATTAATTAACGTCCATATGAGGAAGAAAACAAAACTGAGAAGTTCCGCCGTGGACTGTTTGCTCTTGCGTAATTACACGTTCGATGGCAAACAAATCCGCACACGTTTCCGTCTCTACGAGGCAAATTACGAGCGATATCTCCGCCGCTAACAACCCGTTAAATCAGCCAATCTTTACGTTCCCTCGTGAACCATTGAAAGTCGTGCCAAACTTTTCCCCTCCCGCCATTTACATCACGCGTAAAACATTCCAAGCTTACTCGGCACTTTATGCTTTTGTCGCAGGTTCGAGACATCTTCGATGTTTCTCAAACGCCGTAAAGTCAAACTTAAATTTCAACGCAAATTTGACTATTACTTCTACATTTCCGAGGAAAACAAATATATTCGAGACAAGATCGAGTTGTGTGACACCGGAATACCAAAATTAAGACGTTTTAAAGGTGTACACCCTCTTACGCGTTCTACGCTCATAATCGAGAGAACCGGGGTAAATTTAATTACTCCTTGGCATTCATCAAAGGAGAAAGTAGGGACTAATAAAGTTTCATAATTTCAAGTTTTTTAACTTAATCAGCCCGTTAAGTCTTCTTCGTATTCAGTTGAAAGCCGCGTCTCGAGCGATCCGACGACTATGTCAGACTCTTCCTTCGCCACGTCTACGGGCAAGAATCGAAAGGAAATAGGATGAGAAGGAGGCACGCGAACGTGAATTGGGTCGTCCGCCGGGGGAGCCGTTCCGGCGTTGTTCCGATAGAGAGAAGAAAACCGGATACGAACCTGTTGAGGCGCCAGATGGATGGAGAGGCTGCTTATGATGGTGACTTCCAGCTCCACTCGCTCGGAGCCGGCGGTATTGTTCGCGTGGCAGACGTATCTGCCGGCGTCCTCGACCCTGGCCGACTGCAGCACGAGCACGCCGGCACGCGCGTGGATCCTCTCCGAGTTGAAGACCATCGTCGTACCCGACACGGACTCGCGGAACCAGAGGTACGTGGGCGGCGGGATGCCCTGCGAGATGCACGACAGCACGATCGTCTCCCCGGTGCGAATCGGCCCCGGGTTCACTCGTTCGTTGAATCGCGGCGGTGACGGATTCCGGTGCTCTGAAACAGCGATGGACGACTTGTTAGACTTGCGCGTATTCAAGGCACACAGAAAATAAGCAAGTAGTAAGACTGTGTTTGATCATAATTTTTAATAGGCGTTTGACATTTCACAAGTTTCAAAAAGCCCTTTTTTTATCTACGGGATTAATGACTTCATTAGGTATCTGGAATAATTTAGAGAGTCTGATAAACCCCTTGTGTCAAGATTGATAATAAGTATTAAAAATGAAATTTACTCTCCGTAAATTTCGCCGTTGGCTCTCTCGCCTTAAGTAACTCCAAGCTTCGGATCTTCCGAGATCGAGAGCGCTTGGGAAAGCGTTCGCAGACGTGCTAACAGAGATGATGTGATCTTTACTGTGGCTACGGAAAGTTTAGACAGTCATGAGCGAGTTACCGTAACGTGTGTGGAAAAATTGCGAGGAACCGTTAAAATGAACTGACCGTAAAGATCATTGTGTTTCGATTTTCAAGCGCGTCAAATCTGCGAAATAGAACAATACAATCATCTTATTATTTGTTGTATGTTGCTTAGACGATGTGGAAACAAATAATTTTCTGCAAAATCGGCATATTGTATTAATTTGCAGATTGTGATGTGCAATAAACAGGTAAACAGGTAAAATTTCCAAAGAATCGGATTAATAAACCGAACAAATTATTAGTTTCAAAAATACCCTATTATTGAACGTATTCATTATTAATGTATGTTAACCAGCGTGCGCATTTACTTAACGATATTCAACGCATGCAAATTCATGCTAACTCATGCATTATTCCGTGTGGGGATTAATAAATGATTAGTCAACAAACAGGCGTTTTCGCAAAAACGCCGCGCTCGAGGAGACCGACTACGTCGGATTTAAGTTTCCGTAAATGCATTTTTCTCGCTGATTTCGGTCTAGACGATCTCCACGGGATATTTCGCGATATACGTGCCTTCCTGGGAAGTCGTTAAGAAATCTCCGCGGAGTTGGCTGAGCAGACAAAGATCCGGCGTTAAATTCTTAATGCACGCAACGCGCAAAATCACGGCACATTCTCTCGCACTTTGCCGACGCGAAACTTCGTGCGAGAACTTCGAATCCGATACTTCTTACAGCTACGACGTTATTAATTTTGATGCTTCAAGACTATTTTCATGCCGGATATCTTTTAATGTCGTCTTTCGACCGAGTTTTTACTTCATAATTGTACACAGAACGTAACAAGAATAATGAGTAATTTGAAAGATTGCGCAAAAGATTTATTGCGGAAATGCGGGTCATACGGAGACGAGAGGATCTTAACTCTAATGCCGCGCATATCATTTTGGCACTTTAATCTGGCACACTGGGGTCATTTGTCTTTGTTTATGTAAAGTTCGTAAAATTGCTAATAAAAATCCGTAAAAAAACATGAATATATTTTGAAGTCTGTAGGGCAGAATTATATGAAGTAATATTCGCAAATATTTACTTAAATATTTTATTTTATTGAAAATATAAAGAAAAACGCGATGAAAACATGTATTCAAACCTAATATTCTCCTCTACTATAACTTTTTTCACGCAGGACACAAAAGTTTTTATTCTATTAATTTTCGAGAAGTTTAACATTAAAAATCGGCTGTTTATAATAACCCCAGTGCAGGATTAGAATTAAGGCTTTTAGTCTCTGCACTGAAAAAAATATTTGGTAATAAATACTAAAATTTGGTGAATATTCGCCGGCCAAACATTTGATTACTGCAACCAGATAATTTAGTTCCGTATATTGTATACTTAGTGTGCGAAATTTAATTATTTGGTTGCAGTAATGAAATATTTGGTCAGCAAATATTAATTTTACGATTTAATGATTGTTCGAGTAAAAGAAAAATGTTCGGACAATTTTACAAGTGTGCTAAAGCAAGTCCAAGCGTTATTTTGTATATTTTTTTTTTATTTGAAGATGTAATACAAGAATTCTTGGTAAGCGTTCCCACGCTTTTGATCAAACAAGCATAATTGTAGCGAAGAACCAGAAACTTTAAAATAAATAAGTACATTATCGTCGAATATTATTATTCCATTTTCTATTTTAGTGATAATTTCATTGTTATCGAGTCGACAAGAATATTTTAACAAACTCACGATACGACCTCGATATTTCGAAATCCAATGCATTAGTTCCGAAAATACAGGAGAGAGAGAGAGAGAGAGAGAAAGAGAGAGAGAGAGAGATACCAGAACGAATATAAATCCCCATTTCACGTGGCAACAGCATGCGCGCGTCGTGCTCGGGAATCCGCGTGTAAATTTCAGCGTGCAGTTTTATCGCGGCTAATAGAATCAATAAACCGAGCTGCCGTCACGCGATGGAAACGTCGGAAACAATTCTACCGGGCCGCGAAGTGGGCGAGCGGGGTGAAATTTACGTTCCGAACGAGGAGAGAGACGAGGACGACGACGACGATGGTGACGACGACGACGAAACCAGCATCCAATTTCTCGTCGTTCTCGCGAGAACGCGACGGGTTGATGAAAGATATACACACCCCGCCGAGCAACGGACCTTTTATTTCTCCTTTCAGCAAACGATTAAGCACACGTCCGCATCCCCTCCGCCGGGATGTTTGTTTCCGAACCGGTCTCGGACAGTACGACGCCGTGGTCTTTTACGACAGTCACGCTATTTTATAACGGCGCGCTCCCTTTGTCTGCTCGGCGTTATTATTGTAATTTAAGCTGATGGCGTATTGATCGTCAGCCGCCTCTATCTCGCTCGCGCTCTCGCGACGCGTCTCGCTCGATCTTGCACACTTCGTCCTTGTCTCTCTGCCGGGCTCTCTCCCGTTCTCTCTGCTGCACACACCCTCTCCAATCCGGTGTCCCCTTCTCAGTCCCTCTCACGTTGCCTCACTCTCTCTCTCTCTCTCTCTCTCCCTCTCTCTTTCTCTCACTCCGGTCCCTTCTATAGCACTGTGCAATTCCAGTTACCATATTCCAGCAACGCCACCGCCACCACACCCTTGTTCATATCCTCGTTCGGTGCATCGCCGAAACACATATGCACGTCGAAAAGTTTTTACGACATTTACAACTCGACTTACGTCTTGCCGTCGTGTCGTCGATGTCGTACCCGCTCAAACGGGTGAAAAAGTACGATATCCGAGACGCGCGAAAACGTTGCAACTGCATTCCGCTGCATACGCGTCGGTGGATGTTCGCTCGGGACAATTCTCTCTCGAGAGAAAGAGAGAGTATCATTCTTTCGCGCTAATATTTTTCCCGGCATCGGTGGACAAACGCTGCCGATAAGTGACCAGTGAGAAACAGAAAAGTCAATTAGAGAGAGAATGAAAGAGAATTCGGCGATTTGCATACGCGTATTTCACGCTCCGGACTCGCTTCTCTTTCGCGCGAATTTCTCGATCGCGCGACGATCGCTGGAAATGTTTAATCCGAGAATTGCCCCGGCGGCAAGGGAAAATTTGAGAAACAACATTTTCGGCGCACATGACGCGCCGCATACGTCAACGCCGCGTGGAATTGTATCGCGTGCACGCGCGCCTTACGCTTCAACGTCAATGCTCGCGCTGACGTACGACAAAAATGACGTCGTCGCGACACGATTCGGCAATTTTAAAAGTGGATTTTATGCCAAGCCCCATTATCGTAGTTTATCAACGGATGTCGATTAAGATGTCAGCCGTCACCGGTTTTTCCACCGTGCATCTCTCATGCGCACAGTCGAAAGGAGAAGGATGACACGGACTGTGCGAAATTGTCGCGCAATCCAGGCGGGACAAATATCGACGGGAACATCCGACGGGTCTCTCAGCTCTCTCACTTTCCAAATGACTTAGGGATTTAATGACGAAAACGGAGACGTCAAGAGCGACGCACCGCTCCCGAGTTACCTCCGCAGGAATTCAAGGACCGCGATGTTGCGTCCACACAAACATCTTCGTGGTCCTTGAACCGTCAGACATTGATTATGGAAGGCGCGTCCAAGCTCCACGCTCCTCTTCGATCGATGACGGAGAATGCGCTTACCTTTCGAGCGGGGGATAAAAGAGCGAGGTCAAAAAGAGACGTGGACAGGAAGGAGAGGGAGATGAATGGACGATGAAGAGAAATGGAGGCGGAGGGAGAAACAGAGAGAAACGCGTGGAAACCGCAGTGGCGGGCATGTCGTGCTCTCTTGTAGCACGCGATGTCCAATTAAACCTCTCGAGCCGGTAACTCCAATTAAGAGTCTATTAAATATACACCCGGCACGTGTATTGCCGTCAAAGTGAAATTCAAATGGCGCTGCTATCTCCCTCCTTCTGTCCCTCTCTCTTTCACTCTCTCTTTCTTTCTAGATTCAGAGAGTCTCTAATAGTCCCTCAAAGAGTACAGACGTGCATTGCTGAGCACTCATCTTGGCCTGTACGCGCCTTTTTCCTGAGACCGGATGCTTCATTTCCGGCCGGAGGATACTTCATTCGTCGTGCCAATTGTTCGAACCCACCTTTTGGCAAACCATTGCATTCTTATATTCTTTGCATTATATGCGTTACATACCATAACATAATATTCTAGACGTTAACATGATTTAATTATAACAATCATATTGTTCGTGTTATCTCAGCGAATGTAACAGCTATGTGCGCGCATCCATTTTCATTTAAACATTTCACATCATTATGTTGTTTTTCACACGTTACGCAATTATGTATTCAATTTCTGTTATTACAGATATCCATGCGCTCGATCTTCAATTTTAGATGCAATTTTGTTATATTGTATCATAATAACATTATGTACCCCGAAAGGGTCTTCCTCCCCACCCACGGGTGAAATAAATCTATACATCAACCTTCTTTTTTCCCTCCCCTCCCCTCTCACTCTTTCCCTCTCTCCCGTTTATCTCGTGTATTTGCCCCGGATAGACGGGTCTGTGGTAATAAAGTTGACGCTAATTAACCATGCAAAGTCTTTTATCGCACATTACGGGACTTCCTCGCCGCTCCGTCTCGCTCCTTCCGC